TCCTTGAATGGTATATCATCTCAAAGATAAAGCTTTCAACATTTTACCATAAATTATGATGCTTGCTCTAAGTTCTTTATGTTTAACACTAATTATATAAGCAAAATCCTATATATTTCCCTTTTTGGCATAGCATGAGAGTGTTAAATTTTAAAAATATCTTATATGTATCTCTGAGGAATGTGTTTCTTCTTTATCCTAATACTGTAGTAAATTACCTTTCATTTCTTGAATGTCAACTTGGTTTTGAGGTATCATACCTTTAATATATTTAAAATTTTATTTTACGCTTAAAAGTAGCTTATTACTTTTCTTTCTTACAAAGTTAATGTCAGGATTTTGTATCAAGATTATGTTTGACCTCATAAAACAAGTAGTTTCTCACTTATGTACTGTACCCTGTAAGTCTGATGCATTTTATGCCTTAGTTCAGAATGTGTTATTGGAATAATAACTTCCTTAAACTTTGCAGTTTTGGTCAAGAATTCTCTGTGCCATTTCCCTGAGCCAAAGCAGGTTCATATTCAAGGCATCCCCCGACATCCATGATTCACTCGTCAGAAAACATTACCGGAGAGTTGCTTTATTTAGGAGTAAGAGTCCTCTAATAACTTAATACAAATGGTGTAAGCCTTCAGTGTTTTCTAGGTTCTCACAAGCTTGGAACAGTAGTTGTTTAATATAGCCTTCATTTTCCAAGGCCAGAGCCAGCTTTTCCCTATCGATAGGTGAGGAGAGAACTGAGGTCACTAAGTCAGCAATCTCTTCAAGTTTATTGAGTTCACATGTGGGCAGGTCAATCAGATGACTTGTTTCAGGCATTTCTTCAAATCATTCTTGTGGTTCATCAGTGAGGTCCTGTGTGGCTTCACTGGTTGATTCTTACCTTGAACCTGACAGATTTTTTCCGAGATCTCATCACAGCTAGCTTTTTCCTGAAAACTTATTGCCAGAGCAGTTTTCAGCTTCTGACCAAACAGTTAATGTATCCTGTTGTCTCTGATATGCAGTGTTCGGATTTATCTTTGATTCCAAGAGCAGTGATCCATTGGACTCTGCCGGGTCCAGCAGCGACATCCCCTTGAGCTCCACGGAAGTGGAGGAGACGTGCCCGGGGCCTGGGTCTTCCCACTGCCGATCGTCGTCAGGGTGTGGACCTTCGCTCTCCGCGCGTGTGTGACGTGGCGGCTGCTGTGCCCGCGGCTGCAGCCGCCGCCTCCCCGCTCGCTGTGCCGCGCCGCTCAGCCTGGAGAGACGGTAGCGGCGGCCGCTCCGGAGACGCCCGAGATCACTGTGGCTCCCAAGGCTCAGCCGCAGGAAGGGGCAACGGGAACCAAGGAGACCTTTCAGCCCGAAGTCCCGGTCCCCCCTCGCTTCGCCTCTGCACATGCCCACCCTCCCCGCCCTTTGCCCCCGGAGGTCGCTCTGCCGCCGCCGCCGGTCCGTCGGTCTTGTGACCCGACCCCTGTCTCCTCCTTTCTCCTTTCCTATCGTGTTCCCGTTGAAGAAAAAGATACATCGCAGCTTCATTACACATACTGCCTTTCAATACGTGTATGCACTGTAATTTTTTTCACAAATATTCTTATTCCTTTTACCCCACCTTCTAAATCAGAGAATGTTCTAAAAGTGAAAAAAATAGAATTCATGTCTTTTAAATTCTACCCTTAACCATTTCATGTGGTAACTACAGTATTAAAAACTGAGATATTTTGATATGAGTCATACTCATTCTGGTTTTGTTTCCAAATAATCACATTAAATTTTTTTTCACAGATATATTCGTAAGTGAATAATGTATGCTTTCTAGGAAATATATTAAGTTTGAATCCACTTATCTCACTATGCTCAAGAATTTATTATTTAGTATCAATTTAATTAAAACTCACAATGTTGATTTAAGTCACAAAGTAGGGATTTAAATTAGATGCTGTCATAAATTGCAAGGTAATTTCCCTTCAGTCAAGATTTGCTGTTTTTAAATCACTTTTTCGTTTCATAAATGGTGGAGATATTTATCACAAATACCTTGTAATGATAAATAATTCTCTGCAAATAGAATACACATATGTATATCTGTATTTGTATCTGTATCTATATGTATCTGTAGTTAGATATTACTCCTGCTAAGTGACATCCCACTACCAAGAAAAAAGACCTCAAAAATACTTTTTATAGTCAAAAAGACTATACTCTCTCATGGTATCTATGAAACTCAGTATGTGTCTTGCCATTTTAATAGGAAAATAAGATAATTAAAATAATCTCATTTTGTGAGTTCCTTTTCTATTCCCTTGGCAATGAGACCAAAATAGTTAAAATGTGTTTTTTGGAAGGAAGACTGTAAATATTATTTTAAATGAAACCTCAATATTTTAAGTACATCCAGGACTGTTCTAGTTGAAGAGATTCGTTCATCATAGTTGTACATGTTCATTTTCCTACACAATTTTTTAAAGAAATATGATTAGAATTTACCCAGCATAAATTCTTTGTTCTCATTACTTGCTACTTTTGGTGGCTGACGTATCTCAGTAAATCAACAGTTATGTAGCTTTAAAAATTCTAATGTTCTGATTGCATGTAAATGATTAATATATTCTGATTTATCTACAATATTTAGATTAACTATAAAATATCATGATTAGATACTTCTTATTAAAATAATACCAGGACTATTAATAAGAATGCTTAAGTAAATGCATTTGGAGAGCGTGCTCACTGATGTTTAAAAAGGATGTTTCCTAATATAAATGCAAACAGCAGACAGTTTTAAATGCCTTTGTGAAAAGCAATATTAATAATCTGAGATTTAATTTTTTACTTGTTATCTCTTATGATCATACTTTCATTGAGAATACAGAATTATGAGAAAGCAAGAGTTAATACAAGTGTAAAGTATAGAGTTGTTTTACTGTTTTTAGTTTTATCTAAAAAATATATTGTTTTAGTCTTTACATTTTATTATGTAAAAACCAAACATCTTGGAAAATCAGGAGAGGATAAAAATCCTTATATAATATTTTTCTGGTAATATAAAATATTACGTGACCAAATTTGAATTATGTATTAGAATTTATTTTTAATAATTCTAGCTTTTAAACCTTTGTTTAGCTTACAAACAATTCATTTTAACCACCCAGTCAAGACTTTTCCCTAGAAGTAATGCTTCAAATAATCAAGACATACAAGCTTAGGTTTGTTTTCAGAGATGTCCTTCAGAGTGTTACTTATGAGGATGAAGATTCTGGAGGAAAAAAAGTAATAGTCAATAATATAGAAATGTTTGACTTACGTGTTGCATACATGAATCACATACTAAGTAAGAATCAAATTTTGGTTAATAGTGGTAAGTGAAATGTTAATGACACAAGTCAGATGAAGTTCAGAAGTACAGGCCTATATATAAGCCTGCTTATTAGTTACATGAGTACAAGTCTCTGTCTATAAGCATAAGCACACGTACACATACACATATATGTATACATACACACACACACATACACGTTGATGAAAATAAATCTTGGAAAGAACTATGCAAAATATTAATAGGAGACTTAAGGTTGTTTTTCAAATTAAATATAACATCCAAACATAGTAAATACTCATAGCCATTGAGTTCTACAGTGCTCATAAACTTATCCCATCCTCCCTCCACTTGCAGCTCAGTTTACAGATACTGGTAAAGGATACATCAAAAATGTTCACAGTTTTAAATTCAGGTAATACACAGTAATAGTATTAACCTATAAATTGAGGTTAAAGAAACATTGTTAAATATTAAAATATAATAAGACTTACATGGTTGAATGTTTTAATTTGAATGTATTTATTGCTTGGATTCAGTGGGAAAAAAGTATAGGGCTAACCCATCAGAAATTAATTGATGAATAAATTCATAGAAGAGTACTTATAAAGAATAGATGAACTGAGGGACAAATGAAAGTTTTGGCCTTGGTGGGGAGAAATGATTCTAAGAATAGACTTTGTGACTTTTGTGCTTGAAGGTATACATTGGACTAGAGCATAGAATGCACAGCTTCTCATCAACATACAATGAAGCGCTGTGGAAAAGTGTGGACTTCCTGAATTATGCAGACGGTGTCACATAAGGTAAATTAAAAAGAAAAACATATTTATACTTCAGTATTTGTAATAGATAAAGATTTCATATATCTACATATTATACATTTTATACTTTTCCAGTTTGCATCTTATTTTCAGTTGGTATCTTATTTTGTTATTCGCTTGATCCAAACTAAGGTATCTGAAACTGTGGATGTATATAAATTAGTATCATATTTGAACATAACATTATTAGCAAAAGAGTAGAGGAAGTAATAGGAACAGTTTTGTGAAGAAGATTGAAGATTACAGGAGATTACTTTCTATTTCCACTAATTCTTTCTTTTAATGGTGCACACACACACAAGACTGAACACATAAAATGTGCTGAGAAAATTCCTAAACTGGTATCAAAAAGAAAGTTTTCCACAAACACACTACTCCTGTATCTCAATCCTTCACTTTGATGACTTTATGCTCTTTTAGTCATCTCTTTTTTTAATAGTCACTTTTAGTAAACATTTGTTTTTGAGAAACTGTCTTGAGGGAGCTCAGTTGTTGGATTTAGAAGAAAATCAAAGCTTCTGTTATAAATATGTTCTCAGAATACAAGTACTATAATACTAGTATATTACAAAGAATTATATTCAAAGAAAACTGTGTTTAAGATTTAAAGGAAAGTATGATGACAGTGATTCAAGAAATTAATGATAACAGCAAGAGGTAAAAATGACATTAAGAGAAAACAAATGAAGATTTTAAAATTGAAACATTCAATAACTAAAAAACTCACTGTTGGGACTCAACAACACATTAGAGGTGGCAGAAGGAACAATTAGTAAAGTTGAAAACAGGTCAAAAGAGATTATCCAGTCTGACAGACAGTGAAAAATTAAGATAGTTTCTCATAGAACTGTGGTACACCAGTAAGCATGGCAACACACACAAACCTGGCAGACCAGAAGAGAGAGAGAAATACAAAAAAAAAATTAGAAGACATAATGCCTGAAAACTTTTTAAATTCAAAGAAAACGTTAATCTGCACACCTAAGTTCAACAAACATTACAGAGAACAAACAAGTGATTCACAACTAGACAGCACAGACAGTTGAAAGACAAGGAGAAAACCTTAAAAGCAATGAGCAAAACAATTCATTCTGTGCAGCAAACCATGAGATTAGCAACTGACTCCTTATCAGACATACTACAGAACTCCTTTAAGGCCTCGTATTAGTAAACAGTAAAGCAAGTGTACGTATTTTGTGGCCTTCATTTAGGAGAGATAAATATCACTTTTCTGGTGTGCAGTCAACACCCAAAATGCCTTACTTTATTGGTCTTTGTAACCAAGTGTATGTAAGAAGTCTGGCTTGCCTGGATCTGTATGTGAGCCAAAGCTTGAAGAAATATAGACAATGGTTAAGTGAGAATACCAAGGTTGGTAACCTGAAGAAAATCATACACACAATTTGGCTTAAGATGTAGCTGGTGAGCCAGAGTACCAGAGCATGGAAGAAATAGGCAGGCAGGAACCTAGTTCAGTGATTAGATGAATGCAGATCACCTGGAAAGACTTGGGAGTAGCATAAATGGCCCATGAATAGATATTTTTTCACTAAAGCATGATGCACAGCACAGCGTGTACATAAGCTGACTCATTTCAATTATCAGAGCTGTAGTGACAACACAAGGACGTACTCCTTTAACAGTAAATAAAGGGGAATCTACCTACAAGACTGGAGTATCAGCACAATGTACAGAAGAATAGGAGGGCAAAATACATATAATTTTCAAAAGACTGGGATGTGCTGCAGTGTTATTAAATGTCATGGAAAAGGTAAGAAGTGTGAAAAATCTTTACATGGTCACTATCAAGAAAGCGGTGAAAGTACTAGGAAAATAATCCATAATTTAAAGAGAAAGTTTTGAGAATTTTGAGAGTAGTGAGCAAATGTATACCAAGAGTAGGGCAGGAACATGAGAGGGCAGGCCCAGGAGAGGGTGGGTACAGGAGAAGGCCGGCCCGGGAGAAGTCCTATCAGACTTCCAAGAGATGACGTTGAGAGGCAGTGGGTATTTGAGTCTGGAATACAGGAGGGAGGTCTGGATTGGAAATGGCAGTTTGGAAGTTACCAACTTGTAGAGAATACATAAAGCCCTAAGGCTGTTGGGGGTGGCAGCAGAAAGTAGTAGAGGCTGGAAGACTGAGCCTCAGGGGTGCTGTGTGCCAGCACTCAGGGGCTGGGACTGAGAAGACCGGCCAGGGCCGTGGGAGGAAACCAGAGCAGCCTGAGACCCAGGAAGACCCTTGAGGAAAGGGCTTGAGGAAGCCGGGGAGAGCAGCGGTGGGAAGTGTGGCTGCCGGGCCGTGGGAGGGGAGGACAGAGCTCCCCGTGGAGTCAGCACCTGGTGGGTGATGGGTGACCCTGCCGTGAGCAGTCGCAGTGAGTGGACACCCTTGGTTGGATGGAAAATGAGAGGAGTCAGAGGAAGCGAATGGGAACAGCTCCTTTGCAGGGGCAGGAGGCGTGTGTGCCGGAGAGCAGAGAGATGGGGCCGCAGCTGGAGGGTGAACGCATCTTTGTTTTTTAAGATGAGGGAAATAACAGTGTATGCTAAAAGATAGGGTAAAAGGGTAAATAAATTAGTAACAGCACATTCACTTAGGTCAGGGGAGTTGCAGGTGAGGGCAGGTGTGGGCACAGAAATGCCCCTGAGAGAGTCAGCTTCAAAACACTTGCCAGGTCCAGTCCACTCAAGACCAGCTCCCAGGAGTGTCAGCCACTTAGGAACTCTACCGCCCCCTGCAGTTTTGATCCTGGCAGGGCCAGAAGCCATAATTAGCCAGCTGAGGGAGGAAGGATGGAGTTAGGCAGGAAGAGGAGGTCTGCCCTGCCTTCCACCCCTCCTGCAAGTGGTCAGCCAGCAGCGTGGCCTCGCTGAGTAACTGATGTGGTGTTTTCATAGTTACGTGATTAAAAAGTTCTCAAATGTTATACCATGCTCCCAAATAAACCTTGGGTTGATTCAAGATTTAATTGGTGGAAATAAAAGCAAAAAATAAAGTGAAGAAAGTGTGTAAACATAAGGCTGAGCCACAGAGCAGGGTCAACAGGCATGCGGAAACATGTTTTCGTTTCATCTGGAGAGCGTGTATTGGTTTCTGAAGTTTGTACTTAATGATACATATTGCCACAATCTCTGAAACCATGAAAACAGCTTTCTGCTGTTTGCATGTGCTAAATTCCCTGGAGACTGGCTGGGGCCCAGAGGGATGGGGAAAGGAATAAACTGAGGGATAAGGAGATTTAGAGATTTTTGGTGGGGAGCTCTCTGGGGGACTAGGCCTTCAGCATCCTGTGGTTCCACCCCACTCTAACCACAGTTGCATACAAACATGACTTTCTCAGGGGCAAGCCTCACTTCTGGAAATGTCCCAAAACACTCAGCCACCTAGCACCAACATTTGAACGGAATCCAAAATGGCCCACAAGCAGTTGCAGAGATTTGAAATGCGTTAGGCTCCCGCGTGCGCACTGGGCACACTGGGCCTCTGGGCCTCTGTGCACACTCACAGGGACACTGGCTCTGGAGGGACAGTTGAGGGTCAGTGCTGTTGCTAGGCTACGAGTGTTCCAGACCAAACATTCCGAGCCGTTGAGCTTTGCAGCCAAGGTGTGGCAGCGAGACCTCTGTGGCTTTTCTGTAGCGCCAGCGCTGAGATCGGGAGGCGGCAAGAGGCCAGGAGGGAAGTGAGCGGTGTCGGAAGGCGATAAGCCAGATGAAGAAGAGACTCGTGAAGTTAGTGAGCTGGGTGGGCGTCAGCACCCACCAGAAAGCGCGCAGGGATCATGAGAAGCCCGT